AAAAAACTCTAAAAAAAAAAAAAAAAAAAAAAAAGGTAAGAAAAACTGTTGTTTTGGGGCCAGCAGGTGGCATAGTGGTTGAGGCACTGGACACCCACATGGTTGACCACGGTTCAAGTCCACGCCAGGGGTGTGTGCATGTGCATGCATACCCAAGATCCTGAGAGGAGAATGGAGGAGAAGGGATTATAGTAAAATGCAATATGCTGAGGCTGACTCACATGGGGCGGTTCCTGGTTCATGTCTGGAGACCTCCCTGAGTAGGCCAGGCATACATGTGCCCATTATCCAGGGCTGGCTGATGCTGGGGGTACACTGTGGCATCAAGACTCTGTTGGGAGTGTGCTTTCTCTCTCTTTCTAAGAATAAATAAATAAATAAATAAATAAATAGCTGCAGACATTGCCATATGTCCCCAAGGGAGCAAAATTGGCCTAGTTGAAAATCCTTGCTGTCAAACCGCAGAGAGTAGTCAGTATTGTTATTATCCCATTTCACAAATGAGCAGACTGAGGCTTAGAAGTAACTTGTCCAAGGTCACTTTTCTATAATAGAAGACCCAGAATTCAAACTAAGTGTAACCCCCTGCCTTGAGCCTCTATCTCCGGTGTGTGGGACTTTACAGAAAGACTTAGGGTTTCAAGGAGCCAGTTGCCCATAAATTCTGTGGAAGGATGATGAAGAGTGAGTCAATCTTGTGCTATCCTAGGATTGTTTTCCTTTTCTGTTTGCCTTGGAAGAATGGAAGTTACATTCTTGTTTTTACTGCCTTAGTCAGTACAGTTTACGTGTCCAATTAGATCCAGTGAGAAAGTGGCTGATGAGTCATCTGAGTGTCTGTGGACCTCAGGCCCCAAATTCTTGTGAGATCCTGAACTTCCACTTGAGAAGAATCAGATGTAAACCTGAGATGAGAGATGGCTGGGGACCAGGGGTGGGTGTTCCTGGGAGAGACACAGTCTTACTTCCCACCAGGGGCCTGCCTGATGCTGCAGACATGGTACAGTAGCTGCTCTCCCTGGGTTAGACCTGCCTAGTGCTGCTGCCCTGCCCAAAGGTCCTCAGAGGGGTCAGGGAGGCAGGAGAGAGGGAATGGATGGATGGGTGCAGACAGGGATGTGATGGAGCTCTCTCCCTATTCTGTGATGCATGCCTTCATGTTGCTAGCTTGAAACTGGGCAAGTGGGAGCATTTACACCATGGAAATTGGCAAACTATAAGCTAGGGCTACCTGCCCCCTTAGCTGATTATTAAATATTTACCAGTGTAACACCACTATATGCTGGTTCTGGTCTCTTCCTGCTGCCTGGCATTTCCACCCTATACTGGGAGATGAAAGAGGGCACCATGAGCCACAGCACTATTGGAAAAGAAGAAGAGCCATGGAGATGTGGATAAAGGGAAGAACAGATGCCAATTCTGGCCAAGAATGGAGCTACTTGGGTAGAGAGGTCTCTGTAAGGCACTGGACCAACATGCCCTAATCAGGAGTAGGCTCTGGACATAAATTCTTGAGACTCCTCCTGCCCCAATATTGGAGACTTCTTAGAGGGCCCTGGCTTGACTCAAATTTTCACTATCTGAGGAGTCTTCCCCTCTGAACTCACCTGCCTCCAGCTTCCTCCCCACACCATCCTGAATCCTTCCATTGTTTTTAATTCCGCAAGAGACCACTGAGGTTATGTCGTACCACCTCCAATGTCCCTTTAATATCTGCCTCTGTTAGCTTCTTCCTTTCAACCTACAAATGTGACCAAGCCTCTACAGTGTAAAAACAACACACATGGCCAACTAGTGGTGTGGTAGTTAAGGTGGCTATATGCCATATGACTGATTGTGTGGTTTGAATCTTGAACCTGGTGACTTGAAAAACATGCTGCTGGTATGTGTATGTGCATGCCCAAAATCCTGAGAGGAGAGCAGAGGAGAAAGAATTGTGACATGGCCATCTCCTCCCCTCGCTCTCTTTCTCTCTCTGGTGAATGCTCATGCCTTATAGCAGATTTAGGAAAACAAAAACACAAACAGATACCAGTAGGTGGCATGGATGTTAAAGTGCTGAATTCCCACTTGACTGACCACAGTTTGAGTCCCAGACCCAGTGACTTGAAACTCACATTGGGCATGTGTGCATGCATGCCCAAGATCCCAAGAGAAGAATAGAAAAGAAGGGATTGTGGCATGGCCATCCCCTCGGGTGGTGATTTCTCACTTTCCATCTTTCTTTCTCTCTCTGGCCCTCATGATAGCTCATCTTTTCCTCTTGTTTCCTGTCATTTCCTTTCCAATCCTTCCTACACCCCATTACTCGACTTTCAGTGGTTCCCTTTTAGCTACTGGTGAAGTACAAGCTTGCTTTCGGC